TTTGAAGGTTAGGACATTTTGGAAGTTAGGGCACTTTGGAGGTTAGGACACTTTGGAGATTGGGACACTTTGGTAGTTAGGACAGTTTGGAGGTTAGGATGCTTTGGAGGTTACGACACTTTGGAGGTTAGGACATTTTAGAGGTTAGGACACTTTGGAGGTTAGGACACTTTGGAGGTTAGAACACTTTGGAGGTTAGGACACTTTGAAGGTTTGGTTCTGTAATTTGGGAAATTATACTAAAGGATAGAATATGATTTACTGCTAGATGGAAGCTATTGTGAGAAGAGTTTGAGATTTGGGTAATTTTCAATTTTGGGATATTTGTTCTTAGGATTATGGAATTTTTGGATAACAATTTTGGGACCTAAATTTAGAGCTCTGTATATTTAATTTTTGAGATTTGGTTATGGGACAAATTTGGGAAATTATATTATTATAGGGTGAAAGTGTTATGTAACGTGTGATGATTCGTTGATAGGTCTAGAAAGATAATTATTATGAATTTTAATAATTATTAATAACATGAATGTCAACAGTTCATAATGATATGAATATCAACAGTTAATAGTAACGTGAATATTAATAATTAATAATATGTATATCAGCATTTAATAATGATATGAAGGTCGATAATTAATAATGATATTAATATTAATAATCACCATATGAGTATCAATATCAGTAAAATTTTAATAGTTAATAGTAACATGAATGCCAGTAGTTAATAATAATATAAATATCAATAGTTAATAGTAACAAGAATATCAGTAGTTAATAACAATATGAATATCAACAGTCTATAATATAAATATAAATAATAAATAATTATGAGAATAAAAATGAACTAATATTCACAGAAAAATGCAAGTAAGCAACTAATTCAAAAAAACATTAACTGAAACACGATACACCCTACATAATTCGCATTTGATCCTAATCGCCTCTGGATTAAATTTCGAGAATGACTTCTTAAGAAGCGGCATTATATCTGATGAACACAATCTCCCCTACGTTCAAAGGGATGAGTCCGCAAGTCATTAATCATCAAAATTGCCTTTCCTTTTTGTTTCCCAAAAAAGGGTGCGAATTGTACAATTTTTCAAACCCACACCGTATTCACATTCCGATTGAATTTGACAAATCGTTAAATAAAAACTGTAACAAGAAACCTGTGTAGCTGGAAATAAATTTACGAAGGTCCCGATATCTTATCGATCAAATTCTCAACGTATCGCGATGGAAACCTAAAGAAAGTTCCAGCTAAGTTTCCAATACAATGGAATTCGACACGAATCGTATTGACAAAGTCGAGGATGACATTTCTCTTCGACCAGCCACGAACGTTCTTTTCAAGGGTTTCAGGAAAATGGCTTCTTTCGATTGTCTATGATCAAAACTCCCGCAGATGTAATTTCACGACGGCTAACCTGATTCCTCGCTCGTGGAACAACATCGATGACAAAACTTTGTCGAGTAATTACTTTAGGCTTCGTTACACTTGTAGGTGCTCTTATGCTCTTGTACTTCGGTGTCTACGTTTGTAAACTGCATTTGGATTGCAAGTTTCTTTTACGGAAATGTCTCATAAAAAATTGGATACATCCATTTGTCTCATAATGGACAAAATTTTTCTGATGGGTTTTATAGTTTGTTCTTAGTATCATAGGATTTATTATTATTTATTATAGACTTTGAAATTAATTATTATTTATTGTAGATTTTGAAATTAATTATTATTTATTATAGACTTTGATATTAATTATTATTTATTCTGAAATTTATTTCTTATTATAATTCATAACAAGATTTATTATTTCTTAATATTATTCATCTGAAAGTACGAAAATATAAAATTGACAAATTTTCAATAAAAGTAAAACAACCTCACAAGTTCCTAAACTTCCCTCCATTAAAATTTTCAACCTCACTCAACCCCCCAAGAAACTTGAAAAGTGCAGCATCATCGGAGAAAACAGTTTCCCATTTTTTATTAACTTTCATCCAAGCTCCTCCGCATTCCAATTGCACCGCAATTTCGGAACCTAATACACCCCTCACCATCCGACAAAAGGGAGTAAATAAGACTAACCCTCCAAACGGTTGTTTTATAGCATTCGTGCACTTTCATGTTTCCACGCAATCCCACTCGAATTTATGAAGCACGTTCTTCGAAATAATAATAAATCCCGTGGGTCGGAACGTTTGTTATATTTAAAAACCCGTTACTCATCGGTCGCCGACACGACAGAAACATCCGTGTATTTGTTTTTATATTCGCCGCGCTACATCATACATTACTCGATGTTCGCAGCATTGATTTATAGCTGGAATCGGTTTTTAAACGTTCTTTGTGTCTGATTCGGATCGATTTGCATGATGCTTCTAATCGGAGCGTAATAACGTTGTTTCCTGTGTGCGTTACAATAATTCATAAATCTGCTTATCATCTCCGGTACACGCTTCCAAAGTTAAGTCACATAATTTAGGTATATCGGATCAGAGCAACTTTCTACGAATATAATCTGATTATGAAAAGCTGACTTGTTAAACTTGTATGCGAAGTTCTACAGACGGGAATATCCTTCGTTAATTACTCGATAAATATATTTGAAACATATTCAAATTTGAAACTTCTATATAAAGGTTTGAAAGATTAGAAACTGTAAGACAGTTTACCCTGGAGTACATTGACACCCTATATCAGCCATTAGTTTCAGGACCAACAAAATCCCTATTTCCCACAAATTTCCGACCCGGATCATTGATCTATTCAAATATATGGTCATACCCCTCTTACCGAGTGTCCTTGTACCCAAAGAAGGGATGGGCTGCATAACTTTGCTGATGAATCCATTTTCCGGCACTATTCTCATAATACCCTCCACCCCAGTTCCGCTTATCAACCACTTCCCTCATTGCTTTCTAACTCACATAAAGCTGATTGCTTCGAAATGGTTCCGGAAACTGATTCACAGACTCCTTTATAAGAACAAATATGTTCGAACCTTCAGTAAACACCGATTACAAATATAAATTTTATTTTTCCTTGCTCCACAAAAATTCTGAGGAAATATGGAGATGTTCAGTTCAATTATTTATGTGCTAGTATTTGAGGCTAATCAGATGAACGTAGTCGATGGAGTCACTGAATCTTTTTCTTTGACGAGACAGTTTGACGCACTCGTGACGCACAGATCGAATGTGACCTTACTTATATTTTAAATAATCCAACATGAAATTTAGGTCTAACTTGCATAATCAAGGCCCTACATATAAAATATTCACAACAGTTTGATGACGCACTTGTGACGCACAACTAGAATGTGACAAACCTTACTGAAACTTTGAATAATCCAACTTGAAATTTAGGTCCAACTTGCATAATCAAGGTCCTACATATAAAATATTCATAACAGTTTGATGACGCACTCGTGACGCACAGCTCGAATGTGACAAACCTTATTGAAACTTTGAATAATCTAACTTGAAATTTAGGTCCAACTTGCACAATCAAGGCCCTACACATAAAATATTCATAACAGTTTGGTGACGCACTCGTGACGCACAGTTAGAACGTAACCTTACTGAAACTTTGAATAATCTAACTTGAAATTTAGATCCAACATGCATAATCAAGGCCCTACATATAAAATATTCATAACAGTTTGATGACGCACTCGTGACGCACAGCTCGAATGTGACAAACCTTATTGAAACTTTGAATAATCTAACTTGAAATTTAGGTTCAACTTGCACAATCAAGGCCTTACATATAAAATATTCATAACAGTTTGATGACGCACTCGTGACGCACAGCTTGAATGTGACAAACCTTACTGAAACTTTGAATAATCTAACTTGAAATTTAGGTTCAACTTGCACAATCAAGGCCTTACATATAAAATATTCATAACAGTTTGATGACGTACTCGTGACGCACAGCTCGAATGCGACCTTACTGAAATTTTGAATAATCCAACTTGAAATTCAGGTCCATCTTGCACAATCAAGGCCCTACATATAAAATATTCATAACAGTTTGGTGACGCACTCGTGACGCACAGCTAGAACGTAACCTTACTGAAACTTTGAATAATCTAACTTGAAACTTAGGTCCAACTTGCACAATCAAGGCCCTACATATAAAATACTCACTACAGTTTGATGACGCACTCGTGACGCACAGCTCGAATGCGACCTTACTCAAATTTTGAATAAACTTGAAATTTAGGTCCAACTTATCAAGGCCCTACATCTAAAACACTCCCAACATTGTTCGTTTTAATGTCATAGCCTTAAATTAGTCTTGACGCATCAAAATGTCAGGGGTTAATTTTGTGACTCCAAAAAAAATTGATGACTTAAAATTATTATTTGCATTTGTATTTCTAACATTATCGATAAATGGAACGAATATTAATAGCACTCCTAAAACAGGTCAAAACCGTCCCTCCATAAATCGCGAACTGTAGCTAAAAAATGCGGAAGTTATCCGGCGCACGCGCGGTCGGTGCGAAGGTCTATATTTTTCGTCGTTCGAAACTTTTAAGTAAATCTCGGTGGATCCGCTTGCGATTCAGCTCGGCGTAGGCCGCTCAAGCGTATAACTTACTGCCGACGCCATCACCAGTTCTTAGGACGATAATGATCCATTAAGAAACTCGGAACTCGGCCGTTTCTGTGAATACTCTGGGTTAGCTGTCGGGACGCTTTCTCACGGGTTGGGAGGGGAACAAGAGAAAAATGGAGAAACGTTAATCGGGGAGAGATGGCGAAACGGCAAAGTCTTTCGACTTTTCATCGAACTGGAAGGAGTCGTCTTTGTGTTTAACGGAGGGTACCAGCATGCGGTATGGGGAGGGGGGTTCGCCACGATTCCAGATGAACGGATTTCGTTAAAAGCAGATTTACATTTCCTCGGCCCGGTGTAAACGTTTCTGAATCCGTTTCTTCTAGTTTCTGAAATTCGAGATGAATTCACGCTTGATTTCTCGCAGGTGGATTCGTACACAAAACACCAGCCGCAGCAGTTCCCGCAACAGAAGGGGGGTAACGATGCTGTATCGCCCCATGCCGATCAGATGGAGAATCTACAGTGGATCGAGATACGAGTGAACCTTCAACCGTTCCATTACTCGAATGGCCAGCTGAATTTACGATGCAGTGCCCAGATTCCTGGCATATATTCGGCGATAAGCGAGGTGCAGCTCGGCGGTGGATTGCGCGAACCTGTGCCGGAGAGAGGTAACACGAATTTTCTGCTAACTTATAAATCACCACGGTTGAATATGATAATGGTCTACCTTCCACCTGGAAAAAATATGTCCAGAATCCTTGGTAATCCTTTAGGAGATTCCTCTCTTCACCTGGTTCTACGTTCTTCAAATATTCAAGGTCGCAGATCGCTATTTGATCTTAGTTTGGATCAATTATTTAGATATTTATAGAGACTTTATCGACTTGACATATTTTGTGAAGGCCATCGTTCGGTTAGCAGAACGGTTAGTTAGCGAACAGCTAGCTAGCGAACGGTCAGGTAACGAACGGTCAGTTAGCGAACGGTCAGTTGGTGAATGGTCAATTAGCGAGCGGTTAGTAGCATATGGAGCGATACTGAGCGAACTATACAAACATATAAAATATCAAAATCTTTTGAAATGAACTTAAGAATCATCATAATTGATCTAACAACCTTACACGAAACAATAAAAGCAATTTTAACTTTGTTAAATATACAAAAATCTTTGTGTCCAAATAAAATGTACCTTCAAAAGAATATCACATAACACAAATAATATAAAAAGTAGAAAATTTTATTTCGAATTTCAACGAATCTCCTACTGAAACAATTAAATTACAATTTAGCATCCAGAGATATCGATTTTTTGACAGCCGGCAATCGATTTTAAAGGACGTATGTATACATCGCTCGCAGAAGAAAGATTAATGGTTACCGATGAAATTTTCCAGAAAGCCCAAAAAGGCTCGTCTTTTTTTTCGATTCCGCTTCGACACGGTGGCCGACACACCTGTCTCTCGACAAACCCGCTTGCGGCCAGTTGACGTACGCTGCGGGGTAATAGTTGCACGCTCGAGCTCCCTGGCTGGGGGATTAACCGGTCGATCGCATAGGATAATAAATTTCGAGAGTTAGGGTCCACCCATTCGAAATCGGAAAGGAAGCCTCCGGTGCACGCTGCGCTCGCTTCCTGCACGCGACGTCGACGAGATTTAATTGACCAGCCACGGATAGAAACCTCAACCCCTATTACCATCCCCTTACCCGTGCCTTTGTCCTCTCATTCATCCTGTTCCTCTTGTAAATTATTCGGTACTTCAAAAGTATTATCCTTCAAAAGTATTTGTACGTTCTTGAATCAACTTTGTAAACTATTTTAAATGGTGTTATGAGATGATGAGGATGTTTATTTCAAGATATAAATACAGCTGTAGTATAGTGATATAGAGGGGGAATTGTAGCTTATTACAGTGTAGACATGCATTTCTGGTGTACAATACTGATTGTATGGCTATACTGTAATACAGTACTCCACGTTAGGATTAGATTAGGATTAGGCTACGGTTTGGTTAAAGTCTGGTTGAGGTTGGGCTAAGCTTTCATTACGGTTTGATTAAGATTTAATTGACAAGAGTAACAATTTAGGTTAGGTTCAGCTACTGTAGCCTTGCTATACACTAAATTAGAGGAAATTATTAGAAAATTACGAACATATGTATGAAACTTAAAATGAGTCAGAGTGTCATTTTAAAAAATTGTCCATTCCTCTGCTGTAGGTTTATATTTATCAAATAATATGTGCAACAAAAATGGAAGCAACCTAATCATATAATTGTTCACTTAATCTAAATTCATATAATGTGATCGTCCACATAACTTAAACTTCCACATAAACTTCCTCTGCTGTAGGTTTATATTTATCAAATAATATGTGCAACAAAAATGGAAGCAACCTAATCATATAATTGTTCACTTAATCTAAATTCATATAATGTGATGAATTGAACCTAAAGGTCCACATAACTTGAAGGTTCACATATCTTGAAGGTCCACATAACTTGAAGATCCACAAAACTTGAAAGTCCACATAACTTGAAGGTCTACATAACTTAAACATCCACATAATCTAAAAATCCACATAACCTACACGCCCATATAACTTGAAGGTCCACATAACCTACACGTCCACATAACTTGAAGATTCACATATCTTGAAGGTCCACATAACTTGAAGATCCACAAAACTTGAAAGTCCACATAACTTGAAGGTCCACCTAACTTGAAGGTCTACATAACTTAAACGTCCACGTAACCTAAAGGTGCACATAACTTAAAGGTCCACATAACCTAAAGATCCACATAAACTCTCTACCCATACACAAATGACAGAAATACGAAATACTGTAATTCGAAAAGTTACAACTGAAATATTGTCAGACATCTCACAGCAATTTCCGTGTCGCAACTTTGACACGTTATGACGATACATGGCAATGTTCCGTGCAACAATGCCATAACATCCCGGCACACGTTTTCATCCGCAAGGTTGCGTGTTCCATAATTAATAATACGCGTGAGAATCGGTGTCTTCGCGACGGGGAACTTGCTCGATATCGTAGAGAATTCTAGGATCGAGAAATATGCATGGCAACGGGAACGACCGCGTATTTGAATTACTTGAATGGGACCAGTATTAGATGAAGCCATTTTCCTTTCACGGATAACCCGTGATATCCGCATTGCGCGAACAGCGACTTGATAATTAATGCAGGAAGGACTCGTCAGCCGATGCTTTATACGTACGGTGGTAAAATTATTCGCACTCACTCAATTAATCCGATCGTGAATGACGCTTGCGATGGGTGACGATTTAATATGTTATAAATGAGTTTGTGGGTAAAATTTTGGTGATGGAGATTTTGTGCTGTGGAATATATTTATAGTGTGCTATATTGCATATATTGTTTTTGTGACAAGGTTATGTGAAGCATATTATTATATAAGATTAATAGGATTAATACAATGTGAGAGTTACAATATGGCTGCAATATTATAAACAAAACCTGAATTAAAAAAGTAAAAGAAATATGTTGAGAATGTGTAAAATATGTAAAATGAGCTAAAATTATTTGGAGAGAGAAAGTATTTCTTAGAAATACAAATACATTTACATGAAAAACTATTTTGTTCATATATCTTATTTACACCTGAATGATATTTTAAGATCATCAAATATGAATCATTTGATCATCAAAGTTCAAAAAATTATTTTGGAAATAATTTGGGACCTTCAGAATTTTTGTAATTAACGAATTTAATTTTTATAGTTCTGAAAAATTTACAATTTGAACAATTATCTGCTACAAAATATTTTTAATAGTGCAAGGAATATTTTTAACATTGTAACTCTGTCATAATTTGATCACTGATCATGATAATCATTTGATCTTTTAATCATTATAGACATTTGATGATCTCGTCATTTGATCTTTTAATCATAATAGAAATTTGATGGTCTCATAATTTGATCTTTTAACCGTGGTAGTCATTTGATGATCTGAACACGATAATCATGTAATGAAGATAATCTGGTCATGATAATCATTTGATCACGGTAATCATTAGATAATGATAATCATTTGATTATCGGTTCACGATAATTATTTGATGAAGACGATCACTTGATCGTGTTATCATGATAAGCATTTGAGCATGATAATTATTTGATCATCTAGTCAAGATAATCATTTGATCAAGATAATCTGATCATAACAGTCCATCCTATAAATTCAGAATACTTCATAAAACTCCGCGTACTAATACACAACTATTTATTAATTCCACAATAATTTAACGATTCTTGCAAGAACTAATAAAATCTCATTAAACCGTACGATGGCCCGTTGTATCGCTAATTTTAATTCAATTCACTTTCATCTTGTTACACGAGAATTCTCTTTAGCACATTACGTGGCTCTTTCAAACCTAGACGAGAAGTGCGAATCAGTCTTGCACCATGGAAACAAGAAACGATGTTACTCTCTTAGCGAAAGATAATGAGATACATTTAATCGTAGAATATTTACAACGTAGTATAGTCTCTACGAAATTAGATGAATTTCATGCTGTTTCTACGGAATGCAATCTTCACATTGTTGAAGATCCTTGCATTAAATTTTAATGAAATATGTAGAACTTTTGCCACTCTTGTTAGCAAAATTTCTTAAGAATCATTCAATCCATTTATTGTTGTTTTTAAAATACATTGGTTAGACTGTTTATTAAAAATTTGCTGATTTTATTGTTTATTGAAAATTTTCTGATTTTATTGTTGATTTAAAATTTTCTGATTTTATTGCTTATTTAAAATTTGTTAATTTTATTGTTTATTAAAAATTTCTTAATTTTATTATTTATCAAAAATTTGTTGATTTCATTATTTATCAAAAATTTCTTGATTTTATTGTTTATTTAAATACACTGATTTGATTGCTTATCAAACATCCACTTATTTGTTTATTCATCTACTGATTTGATTGTTTATTAAAAATCTATTGATTTGATCGTTTATTTAAAATTTACTGATTGTCAATATCCATTGATTTTATTGTTCATCAAAAATACACTAAATTTATTTATCAAAAATCTGTTGATTTCGTTGCTTGTTTACAATCTATTGATTTTAATCTATATCAATCTATTGTTTACATCAAATCCACTGATGTGTTTGTTTACTCAAAATCGATTCGACTGTTTATCAAAAATAGAATATTTTTATGAATACTGTAAACATTATAAATTCTTTAGAAAATGCTATAATTATATGCTAGCAGAAGTCGAAATTGATTTCCACGTATGTGCACAGTGCACAATGTTCAACCTAACCTAACTGCAGTGTCTGCATGATTCAGATTTCCGCAGTAGTCTAATTCGAACGTGGACGATATTTAATTTTTTATCATACTAATCCACTTGCACTACTCTTGCAAAATGGAACAATTTTAAATAAAAATGATTCAAAGACTGTCATTAACAAAATCTTCATTAACAAAAATTTGCTGAAGTCAAAAAGTTTGATGCTTATGCCAAACTTTAATCAAATATAATTTACTTATAGAGACTATTAAAAATATATCAAATATGTTAAAAAGTCAGAAATAATTAATTTTGTATTCCACCTCGAATTGAGTTACAAAATTTACATTTTACAAATTATAAAATTCTT